AACTCCGAGATGGCCTCCTGTTACAGTATTGCAGCCATCAAGTCTGCTATGCTGTAGTTTGATTTGCCGCTTCTCGTTTCCATTTTTTTTTATCCCACTTCTGACACCAATTTGATACATCTCCGTTTGTTAATTAACTTTCCGTAACTTCGTTCCGACGAAACTTCAGCGACACAAGTCCTTACTTAATAAAACTGGTTTATTCTTTCCGAATACAACTTTACGATACACTTATTTTCAACAGTCGCTCTATAACAAACGCTATATCAACGAACGTCAACAATACTTCTGACTGAAGTTCAATTACTCACTACCTACACACACATTACATTATTCCGTCACGTTGTCACCCTTTTTTATATACCAGACTACCCTATATCCAGTAAATGCTAATTCGCCAAAGTACAGGATAGTTCTAGAAAGCAGAGGGCGTGAGAATAGTCACGTGATCTCGCTGACGCAACACCTTCATACTAACTGCTGAGCCATTGAGAGGCATCAGAAAAAGTATCAGAATAAAAGTTAAGACATGGACAAAATTGCAACAAGTCTTTACTCTTTCAGAACAGAAACAAATCTGATTTGAATGTTAAAAGTGCATTCACAGTTCACCTTTTATCAATAGTAAAGCAATCAGAAATTGGATCATAATAAACTAAAAGTATCTCTGCCCCATATGACAGTCACAAAGATAAAATAGGATACAATATAACTATCTGATTAAACAGTAGAAAGCTGAATTTAATATATCACTTCAATTGGATTTAGGCATGTTTCATGTTAGAATTTAGAAAACATTTAAAATGTTGTAGATATGAAACATATATATATATATATATATATGTACACACCAAGATAGAGTAATATATGTGCTATTTGCACACTAAAATCCCTTTTAACGTTGTCTATGGCTTGTCCTCAAGCTAACTTCAACACATATCTAAAAACTTAAAATATGATCTGGTTATATCTCATGAAACTTGCAACTCTTTGTTAAAATAGAAACAAATTTAACATAATGGTATGAGATGCAGAACACAGTAACACAATAAATGAGCCATGAATACATGAGACAAACCACTATTTAAACAAGTTCAGTGTAGCAAGAAAACATTTTGAAATAAAAAACTAAAAATTTAATATTAAAGAAAAAATATATAAAGCCAAATACACAAGTGAAATTAACTCTTTATTCATGAATATGCAAAATGAAACCCCTTTTTAAATACATTAAAACCTAGAATGGCAGTAACAGAATATAAAGCCTGAACTACAATGTTTTTAACTCTTTGCAGAAACTGACCTAATATACACACTAAAAAAATTCTTCACTCTCAAAAATGTAGGTGCCAAGATGCTGTTCTTATCTTAATTTGTTGTTGAGTTGGAGCATTTTTGAAAATTACAGTTTGCTACACTTAATATGAGAGTGATTGATCTTCATTGTGACCTTGACTTTGGTTTATATTCAACAAACATTACATAATAATATGATCAAACAAGATGAAAACATTTGTGAGTTATATTGTTCAAAATCACAGAGGAGTGAAAACTAAGTTCAGCTGTCAGGCAGAGGTAAAGAATATTCAAAAGAGGTCACTGTAATATATAATAACCCTTTAAAGGAATATTCAAAAGAGATCACTGTAAATAACATTTTAAAAACATTAGAATAAACCCTTTATTACAACAAATTACAAAACAACATTTCAGAAAAACAAATATAAGTAAGTAAATCCCTTTAAATATACACAAGGAATTACAGTTTAAAATAAAATACAGAAATAAACAACAAGGCCCATAAATCAGGAGGAATTTGTGAAATGGGAGGAGACATATTATAGCAGGAAAAATAGTAAAAGAAGGGGAAGGATCTTCCTGTTGGTTGTGTGGTAGAACTAATTAAAGAAAATTAAATACATGTCAATAAAACAGTTAAATCAAGGTATGTAAATCAAAACATAACAAATGATAATTTCACTAAATGAAAAGGAACTAAAATTTAAAAACATATAAATATATGTACACACACACACACACACAATGTATGTGTGTGTGTGTGTGTATATATTTATGTATGTATTTTAAATTTCGGTATTATTTACATTTACTTTAACATTTGTTTTGTATTTTACATCTTTAGTTGTCATTTTACTATTTACTAATATTCGGTTTACTTGGGTTTTGTGTGTGTATATATATGTGTGTGTGTGTGATATATAACAAAATGAAAAGAAATATTTAAATTCTACGTATTTACTCCAATGGGCTAACTCATGGTTAATGAGCATGTTCATCCAACAGAGAAATGGAACATTAGTCTCCTACAGACAACTACTATCACTTGGACCAGGTACATACTTTTTTTTACTTTCTCTAACTTGTTCAGAGTTTGATGGAGGTTAACTGCCATTTTGGGGTCTTTTGGTCCTTCCTCTCCTGCAATCAGAT